TTAGGAAGATGCCGTTCTCGATAACATCAACGAGAAATACGATCGTCTCATTGAACTTCTTCACATTAGCGCTATGAAAACTGACAGTTCAAGTCACCAGTCGACAAGAAAGGTCTGCCTCCAGAAATACTCGAGCTGCTACGCCAGAGCGGAATCGCACGAACTACAAGCAACCGCCAACTTATGCGAAGTAATGCAGATTGGCGATGAAAGATCTTAAAGAAAAAGGAGCAGCAGTTATGTTCGAACATGCAGAAGCAGGGGAAAGCATTCGCAAAACCCACCGAAGGCTCGTTAAAAACAAAACCAAGACGTATTCTTTCTTGATAAGCTTACACGAGGTTGATAAATATAAATAAATAAAAAAAAAAACCAAGACGATTGCACTCCGACACTCGGACAGAAGAGTTACACCTTACAGAAAGACGATGGAAAAAATCACTCACGATTGCTCCTCAGGTTTCTTCAATAGCCAAGCCCTCATACGATATAAAGGAGGACGGATATGTCGCTCCACAGATTCTATCTTCGAAAATCCGACGTGCTATTTTGTCGGTGAGAAATCGAACAGCACTAAGTCCGGAGAGCATAAGACCTGAACATCTGGAGAATCTTCCACCAGTTCTCATCAACGCACTGGCTCTGCTTTTCGATTGTCATCTGTCAGGAAGCAAAGTTCCCATTCAATGGATGACGACCAAGACCGTGTTATTGTTCATGAAGAATGAACTCCACGGTAACGGCAACTATCGGCCAATTTACTTACTGTTTGCCGTCTACAAACTCTTCACACGAATCATCCTAAACAGAATTGACTGAGCACTCCACGAAGGACAGCCATGTGAGCAAACAGGGTTTCGAAAGGATTGGACCACTATCACACAATAACAAGACATTGATGTATCGAGAAAGTACAAGAGACCGCTTTGTCTCTCGTTTATCGATTCTAAGAAGGCTTCCGACTCAGCTGAGACAGAAGCAGTTATGAATGCTCTAGATAGCCAGGGCATCCCTACTGAGTGTATAAAAATTTTTCTCTCTTGGTGAGCTTTATAAATATTACTCTACCAAAATATTACTCTTTATAAATACTACTCTACCAAAAAATTACTCTACCATTCCACAACGATATTAACATCAAAGTCAAAAGAGTAAATAGGCAAGGCAATACTACCACGCCAAAACTATTTATCGCTACCTTCGAGAAAGTCATGCCAACATTGGAATGAGACAAAACGGGAGTGGAAATCGATGGTCGGCAATTACACCATCTTCGCCTTGCCGATGACACCGTTCTTATAACACGAAACATTAGCCAAGCGGAACGGATGCTTGCCGACTTTGGTAAAGCCTGTAGAAAGATTGGTTTTCGACTAAATCTCACAAAAACGATGTTCATGAGGAACGGATTGATTTCGTACGCTTCATTAACGCACAACGGAATGAATGTTTCCGAATTCTCAGGTTCCTTCTATATAGGTCGGGAAATCATGATGAACGACTTAGCTCCAGAGCCAAGCAGTAGGAAGAGAGCGACTTGTGGGGCTTTCAAGAGCATCGAAGATGTAATGAGGAGAAAAAAAACCTGACTCCGTTTCCACCTTTTCGATTGCACGATTCTTCCTGCCATAACGTATGCGTAAGCAACCTGGTCGAAGCTTAAGCAGGACGAAAGATCACTCAGCGGTATTGAACGAGTAGTCGAAAGCACGTTGGGAATAATCCGTGTCACTCAAGTGAGGGAAGTGATCCGAAGCTCTGAGCTGCGTCAGCGATCATAAATGAAAGATGCTGTTCTCTACGCTAAACTGTCGAAGATAAGGTGGGTTGGACACGTAATGTGAATGAACGACAACCGATGGATAAGAGACGTTGGTGACGCATTCCCCGAAATGTCAACGTGCTGCAGGAAGACTACTGTCTCGATGGTCATAATCCTGAAAAAAAAGCGTGAAGAAAACCCTGGAAGAAAGGCACGATGCTCAGCGAGTTCCTAATCAAGGAGAACGCACTGGGTTGCTTTTGCACATGACAGCGAAAAATGGAATATGTACTGGCACCTGCTCAAGTCACTTGACAATCAACGGAATGACAGATGATACAGGTGATCGCATAAATCTCTCATTGGTTTACCAGACCGATGTGGTTTACACCGCTCCTGAATAGCGAACTATAACGTATAGTCTTAACTCTTTTATTTACTGCCTTTTTCTTCTTCATGGCAGGTTATGTTTCGAATTATAACTCGTATGAAATGCTGAGATATTTGCAAAACTCCGGACCACAGGTGTATGCAGTGGAGAACGAACACGCGCTGTTGTCCTTACCGGGGAGCAGCGCACTTCACCACTACACCATCCGGGTCTGTCTTTGTATGAGAACTAGCTGAGAGACTCTTTAGTATTGTTGTTTGTGAGTCAGGTATTACGGCGTTATATAGATCCCTTAATGCTCCTGGATCTTGTAACACTCTTGAGGTATTCTGAATGCACATGGCACTGTTTTACTGGCCTATAGCAAAGATACTAACCCGCATTACCCTCATTTATTGATCATGATACAATATTGCAGTCTGTATTGTACCAATGTTTATATTTCGTTATTCTTGAATTATTATATGTATATGTAGGCTTGTGGGTTCTGATGAGGTTAACACGTTAAGGGCGACATGCAAGTTCGTTATAACATTGGGATGAGGCCATGTTTTAACTTGTAAGTACAATGCGATTAGGCTAACGTATTAAAGAATGCATGTAAACGTATGAGTATACTGCGATGGTTAATGTGAACACACAATAGAGTTAGCGTGTTCAGAGTTACATGACAGCAAAGTTAACATACAACAGTGACCACATGCACAAGAGAGAACACCTTCGATTAACTACAAGACGCACTACACATGATGAACAGGAGGGCGAATACGGTATTGACGCACGGGACTACTTAAATATCTGGAGGAGGCGGTCCTTTGGCACAGGTCCAGAATCTTTACCGAATACACCCATCAACTTCCGTCTCCAGCTCCCTCGTGATCAGATAACTGAGGACGATTTGCCGGACAGATCCATGCCCCTTCGTGTTACCGTACCCGTGACGGTTTGGAACAGATGCAACACACAAAAGGTTCCGATTGTATAAAGAGTGTGGATCACAGAGGATGTTTACAACCAAAGTTTCTCTCGACGAAGTGAAAACGTTTACATGCTGCAAGATCGCAAAATGATGTTAGGGGCCACGAATATACGATATGATGAAAGAATGGTAACTATTCTGGCAATAGTTACTATAGCTATGTCACCCGCTCTGGCCTACCTGCACTCGAAGAACACTGTTTCGCTCGATTGGGTCCACGGCATATCACTGCTGAGCCGTAGAACATCCATCGGACCTCTACTATTCTACCGCGTTGGCACATGGTCGGGTCAGGCCAATTTTCACCTTCGGTGATCGTCCGTGGGGTCTGACCTACCTCCACTCGAAGAACTCGAGCGGGTTTCTGGTCTCACTCCACCCTACGGCTTCGCACCTCAGAGAATGGATAGAGGTCTCTTCACTCCCGCACAACTTTGCGTGCGCGTATTTCGAGCTGACGGCCGCGTCGTACAAGTAGCGGGTCTGTACGGAAGCAACGAAATTGAACAAACAGAGAATTAGATTTGATGGAGTCGAGTAGCACTGATAAAGATCAGATTTGGAATTTACACGTTAATTTGGAAAGTTATTAGAAGAGAAGAACTATGTTGCTTGATAAATAGACATCTAAGAACTGGATTCATAAAGCTTCACATATTTCAGCATGAGTCACTCATCCTCTGGTTTCGCCCCAATCACTCAAAACACCGACCCTTTAGGACAGATCGCTTCAGAAATCTGCTATGGAGACACCTTTTTTCTTTATAACGACAAGAACAACTCTAATTTATGGATACTGAGAGGATACTGGATATTGAGATAATATGCTCATCAATTCGTAATATCATAATCATCGAAACAAAACCCCCAACTCTTAAGTTGCTCTTGAAATATCAAGATCTGAGTGTAACTGCTGGATTGAGGAACTGCATGCTTAACTAAAACATTACAAAACAGTAAGGCCATTGGAGATCCTGACATAGGTAAAATCCACTGGAACATCAACGGCTGTCAGATAAACATTACACAACAACCATGTGAGGTGAACAAATTGTAATTTGCCAAATGCCCAATAAAAATGCGGTCCTGAGAAGTACTACCACTGTTTTACTAGCCCTCCCAACGGTTTACCGCCTCATCGTGGCTGGGAAGTAGTTTTGGATGTCGGACTGCGATGTGCAGTGGAGGGATTCGTTCTCCGGCAGGGTCTCCCAAGCTGAGGAATCCGGCGTTTTCATGAGGAATCCTAGCTAAGACTAAACCAATAACAGGATCCATCACCGCCTTGGTATCAAACTAGTCTCATGGCACCAAATCTCCCTCTGATCCACAAGGACCGCGACTGCTTGTGGTGGTGACGATCTGGGCAGACCTTGGCTAGGCTGACCTCGGAGCACCAAGGAACAATGGCTAAACCAGCAAAACTCCGAAACAATAAAAATTACGCTGGGGCCCGCACAACCAGTGGAAGACGGGCTATCCAGGCTCTTCTTGCTGCTCATGTATTGTATACAGTTTCTTAAAACAACTTACTTGAAACAATGTGATTAACTAGAAAGAAGTTAAGTGGCAGAAAACCATGGTCACTAACTGGTCTTGAAGCAATGCTGTGAAGCACTTCGTTTTCGCGCGCATTCGTTTTGAATTCGGCGTGCACTGTCTGCGTTTTCGGATGTACCGCCTATTTTTCTGCGTTCGACATTGTACTATCGTTACACGTACAAAGTTTTACATTGTACTACTTTTACTCGCTACATTTAGTCTTTTATTACTTGAAGCTGATGAAGAAGTACTGATTGAACCCTAGGAATTACTGAACGCCACTTTCGTTTCGTGGTTACTCGCTTTCGATTACCTTCGTCGGTGCGATGACAGCGGAGTCTCTGTTCCAACGAATTTTGCAAGAACCAGACGTTTTCTACCGACATCAGCAGAATGACGAGCCAGATTTGTCTGCGGACGACAAGCGAATGATCTTAAGCGATTTGCTAATCTCGAATAAGGTCTTGTTTCTTCAAAGGTATCGTTTTTCCCAGTGCGACCATAAATTCCTTAAATCCGTCATCTTTAGGACTTTACTGTTTTCAGATTATAGGTATGGAAAATATATGAACAGTGAGGATTGTGTGCTATTCCAAGATGAGTCTGACCCACTGGTTGGTTACATGATTGGCCAAATCGAGAGGAGACGATCGGATGCTCAAAATGTTGGTCCCGTTTTCCGTTCTCAGTTTGTTGAATTGGCGCACATGCTTTGGTTCCTTCCTGTATACTTTCCATTTCAGTTGAAGACTCGTCGTTATTTAATGTTGCAAAAACTCAAAGAGAAGGGGAAATATTTCTCAGATGAGAAGATGAGAGAACGAGAGCCGTATCTCTATGACGTTATGGTTGGGAAGTTTGTTCAAGAGAAAGGTTTGCTTCCAGAATTTGTGGCACAAAGCTTTTTTTTGTCTTATTCCTGGGTATTGGCTGCCGACTCTGTTTTAGTTTGTTCTACGATATACATTAAATCTAGAAACGCGGGGTACCAAAGTTTTTCTTCTTAAACGTCTGTTAAAAATCTTATGCGACAAAGTTTCTCATTATATGATGAAAGGTTAAAATTTTATGATCCCCTATGAAAATCTTATGGCCCTCTAGGAAAGAAGCTAAGGGTCTTGCTTAACACACCTTGCTTTTTCTTCTATTTTGCAGTACATTTGCTAGGTCACTTTGAACATGGTGTTTCTTTGTTATGTAAGTGTTTCTGTGTACTGATTACGAATAGGCTATGAATTACGCATTGTAAACATATACAAATAGTGTGTGTAGCGCAGTGTTCGGAGGAGGCACCCTGCAGTACGTATAGGATCGATCCCGGCGCCCCAGGCTCACCAGTACCTCCATCCCTCGGGGTTTGGCAGATTGGTACCAGATTTGTCTGGGAGGATAGCAGGACTAGCTCGATACATCGGCAGGCCACGGCGAGTCATTGTGAAGGCCAGATATGCATTTAATCACCTCTAACGAGACTTAATGAAGTCGAATGCATGGCGCGTCTCTCAGGGACTGTTCAAAACCAAGAGCTTTATTTTTTTTAACGTATTATATAGCTGATTTTAGATCACTATATTGTATGATTCGTGATTGTTCAGGTTATAAGTTGGGTACAAATTGAATACTTTGCCATAGAAATCATGCTTGTTTCAAGGTTGGGAATTCCACTTCTTGGTCTTTTTGTTCACACATTACCCAGTTTGCTGGTTACTTCGAAGAGTTAACGGTTAGAACTTAATACAGGCTTCAGGGTGTGAAGCTTTAGAAAGAAGCATGTATCTGTGGAAGAGCGCCATTTTATTGTAGGATGTTTTTATTTTATATTTTTATCAGATAGGATTAACTTGCGTCCATCGGTTTCCCGTGAGGAATGCGTTGAGGGCGGATGGGCAAACATGATGTGTCAATTTGAATCGTCTCGTGAAATCGCTCAGCGGCGAAATGAACATCACACCGAATGGCAAAGGGATGCTGAGGTTGGAATATCTGGCTCTAAAAGTAAACTCCATTCGTTTCGATATTTCTTTTGTTTCATGTGCGTAATCCAGGACTCATTGTTTTTTTTAGCAAAATCTGAGGGAGTACCCCGAAATCGGAGTAGAATGTTTTTTGTACGGGTGGAAGGGAGGGGAATCTGGGTAAATGAGCCTTTTGAGGTGTGTGGAAATACGATTAAAATGCTGAGATCTGAATGAAGTTTCTATTAATGAAACAAAACAGCCTGTATTTACAACTGATTAACGCATAACAGACGCGCGCTGTTCAACGTGGTTCTCTAAATTGAATCCGAGTAATTTTTCGCCGGCTGGAAGCTTTCTGTTTCCGCGACATTAAAACATAATTTCTCATTAGGTGGAATGCTTTAGTGGTTGTGACTATGGCACAGTTCTAGAAGAGACTTTACTGTATCCCACCGTGGGTATGAATTATATCCATACTATCTACTATCGACCATAAGTTGCCATGGTTCTTTGTACAAATACATTGTTGTTGGCCCTGTTGCTTTACTTTACTTTTGTTTCGTTGTAGAGGTATTTTTACTTTACATTGTTAACTTTTTATTTGCTGCCTACTAATGTTTTCCATGGCAAGGCTAGCTTTGGTAGATAGAAAACTAGCTGAGAGACAGGCGCTAAACCAAGGGCCCGAATGGTGTTGTAGTGAACGTGTTAATCCTCGGAAAGGGTAAAAACGTGTTCGTTCCCCACCGCAGACACCTGTGGTCCGGAGTTTTGCAAGTATTTCAGCATCATTACGGTTATTTTTGCTTGATTCGTCACGTGTTACTTGATATGTAGTAGTCCAGACATTTTATGTCATTCTAGGGCAGTGTTTTGCTTAATATTCAAGCTTCGAGGCAAGTAATAAATGATGGTTTGAACAATTTTCCATGTTGTAGCAATCTCTAAAATCGGAGAAAATTTCACGTATGGAAGCCCATGTCAGCAATATGCTTTCATCGCAAGAAGATGAGATGGCTGGTGATTTTGATGACGGTTTCGACGAAATGCGGTCGGAAGTAAACCGAATAAGTAAGGAGGTGAGCGATTGAAATGTTGATAACCTCTTTTTTATGTTCTCTAGACCTTTCTTCTATTTATGTTTTATTTCTGCTGTTGACAGAATGAGAACTTGTATTCATTCAATTATCATATTAGCCACTAGTGCCTTACCAAATATCGACAAAAGAGTTAGTTTTCATTACTTTGCTGCATTCATATTCATGAATGCTGTAGACATACAGAGAAAGAGAACAACTTTAAAAAAGTCTTTTGTAGATCATGGGCGATTCAACCCCGTTTCTCGCTCTACCCATTGTTTGTTGACAGTAATTCTTGATATTCTTGTTAAGCAAACACGAGATGGTACTTTATACTTTATTCCGTTAAAGCTGACGTTTCGGCAGTATCGCCTTTTTCAGAGCCTGGAAGGGTATATGTACATGCAGTTTACTACGCCAAATCCTTTAATAACACAAGCGGAAAGATGAGAGTCTAAATGGCAATCACACAATCAACAGCTTGTCGAGAAACCCATCGTTTTTTACGTGGCTTCCACTGAGGAGGATTAGAACAGCTGATTATAGTCGCATATGGTCGATGAATGCACGACACCACATTTGATCAGTGCCGAGGTTAATAGAAAGTCGGCCGTTGGAATGCCAATAATTTTCCGAAGAACAATTCTTGAACTCTCACTTACACGAAAATCTTGATAATTGTTAACTAGCTGAGGTTTAGTATCGTGGTTTCGTTACAACTAGGTTAGTTGTATCAATGTTCAGTTTAACATAATCCAGTAGGTTTATTGTATAAATTTCGTTTCAGATTTCTCCATATATCTCTACAAATGGTAATTTCAGTCACTAAAGTACTCTTCCATTAGACGAAATAAAATTTGCCATCTACTACAGTTAAAAAGCGAGCTTTTTTTCTACGCACCAAGTTTTTCCAAGCAAAAGTCTCACTTGTATTACTGTTATTTGCAATAAACCGACAAATTTGCACAAATTTGGTCTACGACGGAAGGTTGCTAGATTCCGCTTTTTCCAGGATGCCGAAATGCTAGAGGATGGTATGGATGAATCTCCAGATATTTTGCGCCGAGAATTTGAAGCGTACATGCAGGAACGATTTCTGGCAGGCAAAGATTCGCGGTAAGTTGACTGGCTTCTGATTCCGTTACTATGCTTAAAATATATATGTGTATATAGGCGTATGTACATATGTATGTATATATGTACATATACGTAACATGTAGGCATAGTAGCGTACTTATATATGTATGTATACATATACATATATGTATATATATGTACATGTACGTGCGTAATGTATATGTATGTATGCATGTTTATGTGAATATATGCGTACATATAAATATGCATATGTATACTTGTCTCGAAAATTGTGGAGAATCTTACACAATTTCCATTCACTTCTCGCTACATTTTCTGTTTAGAGGTGGTCTATTTTCGTATATTACATTAACGTACATAAATCTCTTGGAGAGGTTGCCTACTTCACTGTCGCTGCATGAAATGTGGTGGCCTCAACGTAATGTAAGATGCTACTAGAGTTTTAATCTTTGAAATTCACAGCTGGAAGTGTTTTCAAATGTCGATCGTTGTTGTATGATGGCGATACATTCCCAGAATGTTTTGCGAGGAAATGCTTTTTTCCAAAAAACTATACCGCTCTCCCTTTTTTGGCCACTAAAGTTCTCTTCGCAACAGATCAAAAAAACTCCAGGGTTGCTAGGTAGCTACTTGTGAGTGGTAACCATGATAACTGAAACATATTTTGAGACCAAAGGGACATGCTTGCTGAAACTAGTGTGTCGAAAGGTGAAGAGTTTTCTAGAAGCCGTAGTAAGCAGACCACAGTGTAGAAACTCTCTTAAACCGCTTTGTGCCCTCCTCTCCCCCAGATCAGTCTCGTTGTCGGGCAGTTGTTGATAGCACCTACAGGTCAATAATAACACTGCGGAGAGAAGGGCGAAACGAAGGACTCGCATGGTGTAGTGGTGTAACAGCGTGTTCGAACCCCACTGCAGACACCAGCGATCCGGAATTTTGCAAATATCTCGGCATCATTGTGGTTAAAACTCTATGTTCTAGATTTTTCGATTACGATGCTATTGACCACGATGTGACGCTAGATGACTGTGATGATATTCGTGCTCGCGATATGGAAGAGAAATGGTTTGACGCTGATGATGAAGATTAAACTATCATTGGTTGTTCTTATGTTTAGTGCTTTCATTGTGATTGGTGATTCTGCATAAATTGCTTCCAGATTGTATTGGTTTTTCCTTCCATCTAAGACGGCTTTACGTCCGATTTTGTTTTATCGATAGGGTGTTTGTTTGTTACATTAATTCTACATGCTTTTCTTACAGCATTCAGAGTTTGGGTTAAAGTTACCATGATGACAAAAGCCATAGAAGTTCGATGGTATTACCACGGCCCTGACAACGAGATATATGGTGGGTTTATATTGGCTTAATTTTTATAATAAGATAGCTTGAATAGAGGCCTTCAGAAGTGTTCCATACTCCGTCCTTCACTTAACTAAGCAAGTGGAACATTTTATCACGATGCAGGCTAATCTTTCTTATTAAATTTCGAGCGATTTTTTCTCCGTAGAATATAACTGCTACACCTAGTTGGATCGACCTTACTTAATTAGTGCTGAGAACATTTTCGTGAATAGTGGGTCGGTCTGCGTACAATTTTCCTTATATGTGGAACTCGCAAAACCTTTGGATTTAGGGTAGTATGAGGGAGGTTTTATTCTTTGTCTTTCAAAGCTGGATTGCCTAATACGTTCCTAGACTTGGGCGCAACTGTTTATGTTTTTTTTGCTACCTGAGGAGACAGGACGCATGTGGCGCAGTGGTCGGGGACGCTCTGCAATACACATAAAACCGATCCCAGCGCCCATGGCTCACCAAGCCTTCCATCCCACCGAGTTCGGGAAATTGGTATCATACCTCTCGGGGAGAATATGAACACTGACTTAATACATCACTAGGCACCGCGAGCGATTGTGTAGGTGGAATATGCATTAAATCACTTTCAGCAATGCTTAATGAAATCGAATGCATGATGCATCGCTCGGGGATTGATCAACGCCGAATGCTTTATCCTTTTTACTGGATGGCATGTAGATCTAATCAGGAAGTGAGAAATTGTGACGTATTACTGTGCAAAAGCTGCAGTAATGAAAAAAAGTTAGAAGGACTCGTCACTGCTGCCATTGAGAATGTCACCTAACACTGAATCTTAATGTTGGCATATCGTTTTATTAGAAATGTTACATTACTAGCTTTTTTCTTTTCAAAGTATATATTGTCTTAGGTCCCTATACTGCGAAGGAGATGATGATGTGGACTCAATCTGGGTACTTTAACGACAATCTTCTTATAAGAACTGAGCATGAAGAGCGTTTCCATACTTTGGGCGAGTGGACTCGGGTTTGCGGTGGCAAGGTGGGTACACCAAAAACCTAGTCGTTGATCAAGAATTCTAGGTGCATAATTGAATTCGAGTTTGATTTTTCGTACCTCTTATGAGTCGTGCAGTGTAGTCGTGGCAAAATATGATGCGCTTCTGGTAATATCTCTAGGAAATAGATCTTGATTTCATTTTATTTGTCTCTCTCTGCTAAATGTAGGTTTTTATCCCTCTAATCGGAAATTATTTTTGTTACCTCCTTTTTTTTTCATGTGGTGAGGATGAAACGCAGTACCACTTGCTACTCACAAAGATTTCCATGATAAACGTGGAATTTGTTTACTGTTTATAGGTACCCTTTGTGCTACCAGTGATATCAATGGAGGCTTTAGTTGGACAAATTGCACCTCGTTTGAATCCTGTTGTGATAGGAATGCTTCCACCAGGTCTTCCACCGCCATTTCCACCTCCAATGCATGGCAGGTATAGTGCATTTACTTGTTCTTTAGTTCTATTTTTGGTCATGAAAACTCTGCAGTACAAGAATCATTTGCAATCATGTATTGCCTAAGTACATTTCTCTTTTGCAGTCATGACAAGCGCCATACGTAATTCAGCTTTCGTTTCCTCTTCTGCTATGCTATTATGATGAATATTACGGGAACGCTTAATCTTATTCAGTTGACAAATGCGTTATTTCTTTTGGAGATTTACCCACTTCGTTCCTGGGATGCCTCCTCCACAACATCATCAACCGCCGATGACCCATAGTTTGCCGCCATCAGAGCCGTTGGATGCAGCTAGCAGTGTCTCTCAGACGCCCGACAGCGAACAAGAGGTATATATTAATCTGAAAGATTTAATTTGAAGCCTCGGTTCCAGGAGTTTTATTATTATTATTATTATAACAAGCTGAGGCAGGCGAAACGAAGGACCTACATGGTGTGGTGGTGAACGCGTTACTCCTCGGGAAAGACAATAACATGTTCGTTCCCCACCGCAGACACCTGCGGTCCGGAGTTTTGCAAATATCTCAGCATTATAGTAATTATTATTATTTTTATTATTAATATCATCACTATTGTTATTGTTATTATTTATTACTATCGTGATTGTCATTGGTATTAACATCATTGAAAAGTATTGCTATCAGCTGTTGTCGTTTTTGTATTGCATACACGTTAGCCAGCTTCGTTAATTAGTTGTGCAATTTTTTTAGTCATCGTAACCATCATATAAGAAACGAAAGGTTTTCATACTAAGGTTCACAATGAAAGCAATGGAATATCGAACCTTCGTCACATGGCGGTGTCAACGGCGGAGCTTCCAGTGATGGTGTCAGTGGCCACTGGAACTGATAGTCCTGTGTTACGCGAGGCGGCTTGTCAAACTACTCCGCTCATTGTATGGTTTTTCTCATTCTTATTTTTACAAGATGTTCTTATTTCCGCGTAAGTGTGAAAAGTTATTAAGTGGTCTTCTGTGTTATGTTCAATACTGTATTAAACCCATGTGTAAATTCGCGTCCATTATCCACTTATTTCCCACTATTCATAAAAGATATTTAACTGGAAGTTGAACTGTTGTGTAGCTATACTTTATTCTTGGATGAATCCCACAGGGAAAACAGAAATGACATTCATTTCTCCTTTTAACGTCATACCCTCCGTAAAAAAGTTATAGTAGGCAGCAAATGAAAGTTTATCATTGTGATTTCGACTACAGCCTTAGCTCAACTGGGTTCAGTGCCGATTTGTACTCTCCAGATCGATCTCAATGACGAGTGATTGCTGTTGGCAGTGTTAGCTAGAAAACTACCTGAGGGAAATCCAAAGCAAGGACCTCAGTGGTAGAGTGTGTAAAAGACGAGTCCTCTGAAAGGGTAATCGTGGTTCGATCTGGCCCGGGGTCCAAGCTTCGCGAATATCTCATCACCATTGTGGTTGTACTAAACATGACAGTAATCGGGGTTTAACCAACAGATCAGTTTATGTCCAATATAATTTTTATTGTATTCTAAACTTTCTAGGTTGCTGCAAAGGATGCAGCACGCATCCTTTCAGAATTGCTCAATCAGGTGGTCCATGTTACGTAAACTGTTTGCATACTACTACTATTCGAGCCATTTATTCTTTCGCTGGAATGTTCATCTTCTCTACAACCACTGCTTTTTGAGGTGTCTTTTGTTACGTTGATTTTTAGCATATTACGATTTTTGTGCCGTCAGATTTTCGACATCACTTTTATCTCTTAACAGTGATTGAACTCTGGCTGTTCGCTTTTTGCGTTATTAGTAAGATATTACAGCAGTCACTCTGAAGGTAGCAGATATTCCCATACACTTTATATTGGTCATATCTGTTTTTTTTTTCTTTTCAAATTGTGCTAAGGTATTCTCATAATACGCACAAGGCGATTGTTACACCGTTTCTTGTTTTCAGTTTGGCAGTCACTTTGGTTAAACGCCTTATTGTTTTCCTCTCTTCGTTATTTTTTGGCCTAATTCACGCATGCTTGTGGCTTCAGAGAAATGCCATTTGACGTTCGAATTTGATATCCGCCGGTGCACTTGGTACTTTCTGAGTTCTTCTCTTGTACCATGGAGGTCGAAACGTTTGGTAATTAAGTTCCAACACCCTTCTTAGCTTTACGGTTCTGGATTTATTCGACCCATTTCGACCTTACTTTTACAATTTTTCAGAATACCGTGTATTTTAGTTATAGTATACGATCAGCTTAACGTGGTTATCGATATGGCATAAATCATATATCTGTTGTTTTTTCCTTATCCTTATGGTTATTTTACGAGTTTAGATGTTCTCAATCGTCTACTGACGTACTATGTCTGTGCTATGAAATAATTTTGAATGGATTTCATAATAAAGCTTTTTTTCATGAAACTAAAATCGGTTCCTCATGTTTTTCACAAAAGGGTGAAAAAGGCAATTTTTAACAGTTCTATTCATTTTTCTGCTTTTTTTTTGTTTTTCTTCTACATGACCCGTCATCACACTTACTGTACAGGTCTCGGCGCTTCTTGAACACGATGCGTTTCCTCGCGTTCTTTGTCCACAAAGGTCTGCGAACGTTCCGTGGGTTCTTTCGGTTAATGCTTGAGAATCTCATCTACTTTATGAATAACGTAGATCGCTGGTCGAGTCAATTTTCCTTGCAATCTTGGAGATACCCGAGATAAGACGTCCCACATGGATTGGAGGAGATCATTGAGAAATGAGAGTCAAACTAACGCCTTTGGTTCCTGCTCGACGGCACCACTAACCACTACGCATTCCTTGCCCCACAGCCATTATTGATTATGCTTTGTAGAGAGGATTAATTCATCCAAACTTGAACTTTCGTTTGAAGACGGTTATGCACTGGATTCAAGATGCGTTACATAAAATTTAGTTTGCATGAATAGAAAACTAAGAAGATAGGTCTTTCGATGGATCTATGAAATATGATACTATTAATAATTCGATGTTTTTCTTCAATAAGCAGACACGAGGTCGAAATTATAGAATTAATTAGGATACAGCAGCTGAAGCTTCGGCGGTTTCGCTTTTTTCAGAGCTTGGAAAGGTCAAATTGAGATGCGATCTACTCAGCTAAACACTTTGATAACCCCAGCAGGCAAAACTTAACAAATAAATTTGCATTCGCATGAGAAACAGCTTCGTTTAAACACCTACCGTTTATTCGTTGCAAGTATTTCAGCTAGTTCGTGGAGAGCAGCTGCACAGTGTAATACATGGGCGAGGACTGTGTCAGGTCATTGGATCAGCCTAAGGTATGGCGCTAGGTCACGCGTGATGAAAAATCACTGCCCCTTGTGGTCCATTTTCGAATGTTTGGAATTAATTATCAATCAATGCGGAGGTAATAGGAAGTCGGTCTTGGGGATATGATACTATTACTTGATAGGTACCTAACATTGCTTATCCTGTTATCCAGATGCTTCAGTTTCGTTTTTAGGGGAGCTATTTTATTCCGTTATTCTTGTAAATTCCTATTGTGGTGGTGCGTGTAACGCAATGGTCGGAGGCAGCCTGCAATACATATGGGATCGATCCCGCGCTCACGAAGCCTTCCATTCTTCCGGAGTCGACAAATCGGTACCAGATTTGTCTGGGAGGATAGCAGCACTGGCTCGATACATCGGTAGGCCACCGCGAGTCATTGTAAAGGCCTGATATGAATCTAATCACCTTCAAACGATGTTTAATGAAGTCGAATGCATGGAGCAGCCTTCAGGGATAGATCAACGGCGAGAGCTTTATGCTTTATCCTTTATTCCAGTAGGGTATCTAATTGCAGAAATCCATTTCGAGAACACATGAAACGTGCGCCATGTTAAAAGCAGAATAAAGAAAGAGTCAAGTATTCTAGGCGAAGTAATTATTAAAGCACCCGATGAGAGAAGTATTTTGTGAGATAACATTAAGAAAAACGCTCTCGATAAGTACTTGGTAAGAAGAGCAAGGAATATTGTAACCTATAGAAAGGTAAGTTCAGTCGACTTCATCAGCTTAATCAACTAGTGTTACATTTGTCATAGCTGCAAGTGTCTTTTCATTGTGCTTTTTTGCCGAACCTCTGTATTTAATATTCTGGCAAAATGAAGCTTATGTGGTAAAGGTCGATAGTTGTGTTAGAAGTAGAGCTGTTCAAATATGAAGGTAATGTCGTTCTTTCGTCTGGATCGACTTTGTCCCGGGGAAGCTTCATTTGATTGTGTCTGTAGAGATATTAAGCGATTTGATTGGAGTCTGATATTGCCGCGGGGACAGACAATAGCAGATGATAAGCAGACGGTTTAAGGTTACTACAGGGCGGCTTAAGATCTCTACCGAACAGCGTCACATCCCCGCTGGACTGCGCCAGGTCCTTGTCGAATGAGACGAGATCCCTGTTAGACTAAATCGGGTATGTACGGGACGGTTAGCCGCGTGAACCTTACCTTCAGGTCCAAATAAGTTCAGGAGGTAGTCTTCTTGTCTCTGCTATGTTGGCACCTTTATGTGCATGTAATCATATTCGTGTATACATATGCATACATGCTTATGTGTATGCGGATTGGATGTATGTTCTGTGTTGCTTCGGCCATAAATCATTATCCAGATGGCTAAGAAAACGATGGGAAGCGTTCTGGTATTATGTCTGCTGACAAATTCGCACTACACTTACCACCAGAGCAGTAACACAAGACCCTGAGATACTACCCACTTCCGTAAAGCTTAAGTCAACAAGCAGGTTAACTTCTTTGAGTAGATTTTCATGAAAAAAAACATGAAACATAGTTGACCATACACAAAACAGTGCAGTTTTAATCCATCTGTTAATAGAACTACCCTAGACAATTTTTGCAATGAATTGCCTCCATTTTACTGCTCTTTGATAGCGTACAAAATTATTCCATTTCAAATTCCGTCGTTTGTTTTTGAGGTGCAGTGGTCGGAGGCGCCCTGTAATACACATGGGATCCATTTCTGCGCACCTGGTCCACCAAGCCTTCCAACCCTCCTAGGTCGGTAAATTAGTACGAGACTTGTTTGGGAGTATAGCAGCACTAGCTCCATACATCGATGAACTACCGAGAGTCATTGTAAAGACCAGATATGCATTCACTCATATCCAAGCGATGCGTGGTGAAGTCAAATGCATAGCACATCCCTAAGGGAGTGATCAATGCCAAGAGCTTCATCCTTTATCCCTTGTGCGTAAATCAACCGTCTTATCTTCTTTTTTAGGAATGCACTCTGATCCTGTCATGACGTTCATGATACATAGCCAAATTATGTAAGTTCTTAGCAATTAGTAATAAAGAAGGATTTCTACGTTCTTTCCATATCCTCGTTACAATCGCAGATAAGGTAAGGGGTGGGCGTAGGACTCCTTCTACAGCCAGCTCTTACGATTACACACCATTTTTAACCGTTTTATTTACTGCCTATTCTTTTTTAACGGCAGGGTATGCATTGCGAAATATGACTTTGATGACGCTGAGATATTTGCAAAACTCCGGAACGCAGGTGTCTGCGGTGGGAAACGAGCGCGCTATTGTCCTTTCCGGAGAGTAACGCATTCACCACTACACCATACGGATCCTTCGTTTGGCCTGTCTCTCAGCTAGTTTTATCGATCTTTTTTGCCATCAGCTATCACTCGTCAGCGGGATTGATCTGAGGAGCCCAAATCGGCAACCACCCAGTTAAGCTGAGGCTATAGTTATATATCACAATCTTAACAATCTTAAAATCTTAAAAAGATCGATAGAACTAGCTGAAAGACAGGCGAAACGAAGGACCCGCGTGGTGTGGTGGTGAACGCGTTGCTCCTCGGAAAGGACAATAGCGCGTTCGTTCCCCACCTCAGACACCTGCGGTCCGGAGTTTTGCAAATATCTTAGCATCATCAAGGATACACCATTTCGTTATTTTTCAGATGCGCGAGGATAGCGTCAAAATGAACTCCAGGAGGATGCCGCAAAGACTGTCTAGGATGGCCACCTACAAGATCAGAGGACGTGTTTGTAGTTGTTGTCTATCGGTTGTGTTGAACACTGGAAGAGACTTGCTAATCACGAAGTGGGATCCGCCGGTGTCACTATGCTCGAAGCTGTTCACAACCATGGACGACGACAGCATTGGGGGAGACGAAGATCTACTGGGCACCGAACCACTGGTAAGGACGGACCGCTTAACTATCCAAGTAAGCAGTAATGCAGATAAGTATGTATAATATTTCTGTGGCATCTCTTGTCTTATAAGTTTTCTTTCCTATTTGCTATTTTTAAACAGTTTGTTATGTGGTGGTATGATCTTAGTAGGTCTACAAGCTAATCGATCAAATATAGTGTTTCGTGATGGTCCTGGATACGGTATGGTCTAATCTAGCTCATTCACTCAGCATCTGAAGAAGATGAATTTCGTCTCTAAGAAGATTAAATCATTTTTGTATAACAGTATTTTCCTAGGCGCAATACGATCTACGCCGTAATCATGATGACAATATTATCAAGGGACGTTTCTCGTTGTTCCATATCGGTTTTATCATCACTCGCATCACGAGCTCTCTTCAGCTTTTTAGTGTTTAAATAGTATTTTTCCATTTCGAATACCACAAAAACGCTATTCATTCCTATCATTGGATAGGTTTTAGAATTTTTTGTGACTATAAGTGGTTTTTTATGTATAAGGACGGGTGCGACGCAGCGATCGCCTGCAAAACACATGTGATCAATTCCCGCGCCCGTGGCCCACCAAGTCTTTCCTCAGATCGGATCGCATCTCCATTACTACTAAGAAGTTTCTGGAAAAAGAAGGACACTGCTGCTTGATCCTACTGCAGCACTCCGGGGTGGGAAAATTATTACCAAATTTGTCCGGGTGGATAGCAGCACTGGCTCGATACATCGGTAGGGCAGCGCGAGTGTTACCTACTTACTTACTTGAATGGCCTGTTCTCACTGGTTGTGCGTGCTCCAGCATAATCTCCATTTTTTGGAAATTTGCTGGTTAAGACATTATAGTTCTCTGGAATCCCAAGGTCATCCTGACCAAAGTTTGCCCCAGATCTTCACCACCACAAGTAGTCACAGTCCTTGTGGATCAAAGAGAGATTCGCCACCATGCGACTGTGATACCAGGACGGTGGTGGATCCTGGTATTGGTTTACTCTTAGCTAGGCTTCCTGGTGGAAACGCCGGACTCCTTCCCAGCTTGGGAGACCCTGCCAGGTGATGAATCCCCCGGTGTACATCGCAGTCCGACACCCAGGAGCACCTCCCAGCCACGATGAGGCGGTAAACCGTTGGGGCGCACCGCGAGTTATATAGTGTAAAAGTCAGATTTGCATTCAAGCACCTCCAAACGGTGCTTAATGAAATTGATTGCTTGACATATCCCTGAAGGATTGTTTAACACAGAGAGCTTTATCGTTTATTTGTTCTCTTAGAAGTGGTTATTTACACATATCTACCGTACCCTCTTTAGAAACTACTACATTTGACAGTATGTTATTAGTAATCCGTCACAGTAGCGAGGAAACATGGTTTTTTTCACTTTTTCTTGTACTCTTTCATTTCTTCATTATTTTCTTGACTGTCATAATTTTGGCGCATGCGGTCCATTCTTGGGACATTTCTCAGCGATCAGTTGAAAAAGGTTTGGAGTCGCAATCGGTTTTTGATTAATGACTCGTCGTTGTTTTTTGCAAACATATTTTGATAGATGATGAAGGAACATAAAATTTCACTTTGCTTTAGTTTTCAATTGGGTTTATTTTTGTATGCCAGTAAATAGCATGGAAAAGTAGGGATATAATATTGTAGTAATAGGTGCCAATGTAATAATCAAGCAATATGTGGAAATATGAGTAAATTTCATAATGTAAATACAGTACTGTTAAAGCCCACAGTGGGCCATATGTATGGCTCACACCCACGACAATGTGTTAAGTTGGATCACTAGCGTCGAATAGTGTATTTCTCATTCGTTTCTTCCTACTGCGGGCGCGATCGTGGTCCATGGTGGTGGTCTACTTCATGGTTGGCGACGTGTATGAGTATCGTTCCATAGTCTATGAAGTCGTTTTCAGAACTGGTTGACCTCAGCCACAAACAGTTTCGCCTGTGTTGTAGGTGTGTTCGTCCTCGAGCGTGTCTGCTTAGTTTCTAAATCCATTCAATGGTTATTATTTTCCATCCATGTTGTCAACTCTCTTACCGAAATGGTCCTTTTCTATACCAGAAATTCTGTTAGATGAAACCGCATGTAGTGGCTAGTACCTTTTTGAAATGGTAGCCTTGACACTTGTCATTCTTCAACTCTTCGAATCCATAATCTCAAGATAGTGACAGTAGAGCGAGTTTTTGAAATTTTAGTCAATTTCACCGCACTTCGCTATTCTGAACTTGACAACTAGCAAATAAATCGTTGTACAATAGTTGTGTATAGACTCACTTGATTAGGTGAATGGTCCTTTTTCGTGAAAACTGACGCTGGTGATCATAGGAGACTTTTCACTTCTGATGTTGTTCAACGAAACAGTTTAGAAACCGGGAAAGAAATTATGAAAGCTTTGTCATCGCGTTCCTACGCTCATCATCACTAAAGGCGCTCACCGGGCTAAATCACTAGGTGTCTTCCAGGATGGTGGCGGCTGTTCGTATCAGTTTACTCTTAGTTATGTTTCCGGATGGAAATGTGGAACTACTTCGCAGTTTATGTGGTGGCCATCTGACGGCGATAATCTATGTTCTAACGACGATTAGTCGACTAACTTTTTAACAATGTAGTAAGCCAGATCTGGTTGTTGCACTATAAACTAAATCTGATTGACGCACTATCTGCAACGTTCATTCATACCTGAGCAAAGTCACTCTACATGAGCTCTAGGGATTTTATTTACTAAAGTTATGCTCACCTGTACTTCATAGTTCGTCAGTGAGACGCATGATGGGAAGCCAACCGTCAAGATCATCAAGTTGAGCTTGAATCAAATAACGAGCGTTACCGATGTACTCGAACTCCCTAAGAAATGCTCCTTATCAATCGTAATGGCATAATATGATCTTTTACTACAGTATGGCAGCACTAAGGCTTCTAAACTTCCTAATCCTATAAATAAGAAATAAATGAGAAGTGTGAGTTTTCTTAGTATTCGAGAAGACGAAGATGGACTCACAATTTCTCTTCAACTCTAGTTTAGTAAACGACAGAGTTTTATTCATTTATGGAGAGGTGCCAATTAGAACATGGAACACGAAAGCGCTAACTTTATGTCCCTGTCTTCAAATATCCCTCATCCTCAAAAATCCGAGAACAACTGCAAGTATCACACTTTTCAAAATAACCCATCATTTCTTTGATGAGGTTGAAATCGGCGCATACGTGACCTGTTGTGAAATAAACATTGTATTAATAGCCTCGTGTTAGTTCTTGAAAAACATAAGTTTGTCATTGAGGGATATTGATATAAACATTGATAGGACACTCGGGAAAAGTTGTCGGAAGATCAGCTGGTCCATGTTTTATGTGGCAGTAAAGCTTGATGGTTACCGTATTCAAACAGTAAAAGTAAAACTCAAACATTGCGATTTCGACTGCGATTTTAATACAACTGAATTTAATGCCTATCTTGCTCCGTAGATGAGTCCTATTGACGGATGACTGCTGATTGCACCGTTAAGTTAAAGGCCTCGGTGGTGCAGTGGTTAATATGTGAGACCCCGGAAAGGGTAACAACGAGTTTGAATCTGGCCTGGAGTTCCGAGTTTTGCTCATATACCAGCGTCGTTGCGGTGTTATTTCACTTAATTCCTATAATGAGAGAATAATAGACGGTAAATGAGAATTAAACAAGATGAACGTTTTTGATATTTTTTATGGTGGTCTTAAAGTCTAGTCGACAATCTATTACACATCGCTTTGCTACAGATCTCAAACATCACTTGGTCGTTGCACTAGAGCGGCATGTGTTATTGTTACCTTCAAAAACAATGACATAAATCGACTGAAGAAGCTCGCTTTGTGTAAGATGTTAGCAGTCCACGATTTTTGTTTACAAGAAGAAATAAGGCTGGAACTAACTGAAGTTAAATTCGTCTCCTATTGACTGCTAGTTGTTTTTTTATTCTACTCTATTACACTACTCTATTTTGTGTTACTACTTTTCAGCTGTTGTAATCGACGAATCAACTGATATTGGGGCAAACGTCTTAAAATCCGATCGAAATATAATGCTGAAAATAAACAACACTTGCTGTTCATTGTACTCTTGAGCAGTAAACTATGAATAACAGCAGGATTTATCACTTCCAGTGAGATGTGGAGAAGTTCGAAATTTCGGTCCGAACACTTAGACAAGCCTCAGCTTGAACCAAGAACCATCGGTCTCCTGGTGGCACCTTAGTCAAAAGGTGGCGTGGTTTGTTCCGGTCGAAAAAATCAAGCGAATGGGCCACTATAGTTCCTTATGAACGTACCGTCGAAGCATTTAAGTGTAAAAGATAAAAAATGAAACTTTGGATCTTCATCAAGTTATAGAGTTCGCCATGCATTCGATTTCATTTGTAGTGCTGTAGAAGTAAATAGATGCAAATGTGGTCCATAAAATGACTAGCGCCTAGCAATATATCAAGTCAGTTTTGCTACCTTCCCAGAGAACTCTGGTAGCACTTTCCCAAACCTGGGGTGATAGAATGCTTGATGAACGTGGGGCGAGGGATCGAACCAAAGACCACATGTATATTTCAGAGAACCTGTAACCACTACACTACACGCTCCCGAGCCTTGAAGAACACAAGTGGGAATCTTAAAAATATTTACATAAGTTTAAAAGAAGGAGAAAAATTTACCCTTTATAGTTGGACTGGTCATTTGGTGCGGAAACGAATGAATGCGGTAATGGCATTCGTAGTTTTTCATCGCCAGATTAGTCTTTGGTCCATCTTGGTCGTTCACATCCTAGGAGTCGTGCTAGGCTCCAGTGGCAACCGTGCAGTCCATATTCAGTACTAATGTTTTTTTTTCTGCAAGGGAATGCTATTTATAAGGTTCTCTTTCCGAGAAAATAAACGATGATCTGGTAGATTAAATAAAAATGATTACAAGTTTCTCCTGTATTCACACGAAACACCGATTTTGTATTGTCAGATTGAATTTCATTGTTTTTTTTTGAAGCGCTAGGCTTTCTGGATGCAAATCCATTCTGGAGTTTCTAGACGAATAAAATTATTCGCTATAATTTAATCGGCGGCCGGGACACTTTTTAGCCCATCACCTCTTGTCACAAGAGTATGAAGTGGTGATCTAAGATGAAGTGGCTCTGTAAATCCGTTTTCCCAAAACCGGAAGTTTATGGAAGTCTGGAGTTGAACAAAAATTGAAATTATTATTTCACCATTTATACCACCCTTGTGAAGTGGTGTGTAATGCGATGTTTGGAGCTGCCCTGCAATGCGCAACTGGTCGTTGATTCGTTCTCTCTTCCGAATCCGACAAACCTTCCCTCCCCTCGGTTTTATTAGTGGTGTCGGTAAATTCGTGCCAGACTTGTCTGAGAAGATAGCGACACTTGCTTGATAATACATCGTTGAGTTACCGTAAGCCATTGTGTGGACCAAATATGCATTCATTCACTCCTAACGATGGTGGATGTTGTGGAATGCCTGGCATATCCCTCCGGCATTGATCAATTCTGAACCCTTTTCAATTGTCATTTTGCATCATCTTCATAAGTATTTGCGCGGCCGCGGTTAAATAAGAAAAGGGAGGAGGTAAGTAGAAAAACTAATGAAGGAATCAAGGAATAAGTGAACTGTATTCTTAATTTTGCCACCGTGACTATGTCTTTGTCACTTGTCTACCATGTTTCCTACTCTCTCTCTCTTTTAATCATTCTGAGCACTTTGGTCATTTTTGTCATCGCAAGCTGTTAATGTTTTTCGAGTTTTATTAGTGTATCTACTAATGTCATGTTCGTTTTTTCACAAATTTCCTGGCTGATCAGGGGTACAGTGGTTTTTAGTGGGGTTGGAAAGCGACGAGTGGTGGTCATGTGCCACTAAGTGACAGCTATATAGAACTAAACACGTTCAAAAGTGATAGTATGAGTAAACATTTGTTGTTAAAATTTCTGTATGACGGTTACTTTGTAATTAGTAGTTTTAGGAATGAGTGCAGTTATTCACATATCGTCGCCCATTCCATCTATCTTCGGAATCGTGTGCTTCGCTCCCCTCTCGAATTCACGCCTCATGCAAGAGATTTCTGTCCGGGCAACATCTTTACGCATCGTTAACGTAGTTTTTCGACGAAGTAGTGCAAAGTAAGCACAGTTTCTGCAGACATTACCCAAATATGGAACGGAACCACTACGCTGCTCATGGTAGAGGGCTTCTGTCAAGTTATAGAAGCCCTGTCTTATGTTCTAACGCTTGTAACAGAAGTGGCCGATGCACTTTTCCAATATATCTCTCTCTCTCCCACAAAGGAGATTTATTCTCGTTCGCAAGAGTAGTACCATTACTAACGACACCGTCCAATTTTTTAGAAACATTGGCTTTAGAGTGAGTAATGGACGGCCTAGTTGGTCTAGTTACTAGATGGCAGACCTTCAGCTAATGCAAATACCAAAAAAGTAGAGGCTAGAAGCATTGTATGTGCTCACTATATACACGTAAGATGTCAAATGACTGAGAAAATGATATGGGGCATAGCAAAAGTGATTATATACTCTTCCTGAGACGTAATTGGATTTTCAAGATATATAGGCCTTCGTATTCTGTTCTTGTAGACATACACCTTCCGTTTCCATGATGTACAAAACATGTAGGATTAATGGTTCCATTCTGAGGAATCTATGACCGAATCCTCTATCATTTCCGATCGGAAAATTGGACCAAGAGATAAGAGAGTAAAAATACCAAATGGGTAAGTCAGTAGGCCACTGGAAGTTTTTGTGTTGGCCAAATATGTACACGACCAACTTTATGATGATGCGAATGGTATTGAACTCGTCGTGCATCCTTCGGATTGATCAACGTCAAAAGCTTACGCTTTCTTCATATTTGTGGTGTTCATTTAGTAGCAAATGCAAATCAATCAAGAGTATTCGATCAGTGCACACAATGCAAAGCTAATATTTTGAGCTCATGTGAAAGAAAATAATATTTCGAAAGTAGACCAGTGAAATTATTAGTATTACTTTTTTGCGAAATTACTATTATTATTATTGCCATTATTACCGGTATCATCATACAATCTGAAAAGCGCGCTACGCTTGAGATAAGGCTCTATCTTTAAAAAGAACCCGGCTTAATGATGAACAGTCGTTTATATCGTCACTGTTGTTCTTACCAACATTAGCGTAATTTCTTCCATTCCACAATGGTTAGCTGACACATTATGGCTGGAACGTTTTTCGTTGTTCACTATGAAATACATAGAAAGTTTCCTTTAACAGAATCTGCCAAGCTGAGAAGGAGCACAACATTTCCATTAAGGCGCACAGAGCTCAAAATAAACCAATGCCAGCAATATTCTTCGCTCTTATAGCGACCGAGTCGCAAATCAAATTCAGAAAAGCCGGTGACTGCCTATGGCGACGTCCTAGAAAAGTTCTAGCGCGTTTATCTTGAGATTGCAATGAAAAAAGGCCTTATCGATTACAAAATTGCCAATGAAATGGAAAACGTACCGAAACCATCGCAATTTTTCGTAATAACGGCCCATTTAAACAGAATTAAATTTTTCACCCAGTGATTTGTTGGACAGTTAAAGGCGTTTTACGATATTAGTGCTTATTAATTACATATCCTAGCCCTAGCAGTATTATCTTACCTCTGAAGAACTTCGATATCTCTTATCGAGAAAGGCTTCGAATTTGGGTCCGCTAGTACAGATCTTCATATAGGCAGGTTGCTGTCTATGGCGACGATCTGTAAGTCTCTTAGCAGATTTTTTTCAAGTCTACAGTCTACAAGGAGAACAATTGCTCCGCTAGATTTTAAAAGTGCTGACGCCTTCAATGCATTAATATTTATGAAAATGGATCCTAAGTATGCTAAATCATAAATGTTTGTAATTCATTAGTCGTTAAAAAACTTCAGGACTTCTGCTTTTTATCAAACATGCTTCACCAAGAATGAATGAACTCATCAGTGTCTTGTGGCCCAAATTCCATACATCCATTATTTGGTCTTTGCTATTTACTACTCTTTTTTAAAAGTAGTTTTGCTTACTTCTGCTTTCATATATATCAGTGTCGATTCGTTGTAGAAGGCGAACATCCAACTAGATCTGTGTGAAGGTGTTCAGCCAACTTCACGCAGATTATTGCAGATTCGATTCTCTCAGCAGCAGTTTTTATACGTGGTGTTCCTTTTCTGCTTCGATAACAATTTAGTACCGAGATGTCGTTCAGGAAACTTCTGTTCCCCAGTCAGTACACAGTCAGTACACATTCAACTGAATGGGAAGTTGGAGAAATCATGCTTAATCCTGGTTTCATACCAAACGCGTAGCAAATAAACCTTCTACCTTATCGTCATATTTCTTTAGAACGAGGTTGAATGATAAACACGATTTTGTTCTTATCCCTAGAACGGAAAAAAGACTTATCCTGCAACCATGGAAGTGCACAGGGTTGATTGAGGACCATACTTTATCTGATATGCTGGATTACCGCCCATGTTTCCGAATTTCTGCCACCGCTTCGTCATTTTCCTAGCATAGGACTCACTTCTGTGGTTAGACAAGTTTATATTGTTTGTTCAACAACAACAACAACGTCTAAAGTGGACCCGAATACAGTGCCATCTACCACCTAAGAGGACCTCACGTCCGATGAAGGCCAGACGTACGTGAGTTCGGCTGATTGAATCAGCCATAGGAAGTTAATAGCCGTTTGCAATGGATTCAGTTTCGGACTTACGGATGGTTTTTTTGTCAAACCCTAAACAATGTGCAAAATTATGAAGAGAAAAAATGTTTAGGCCAAGCCTTTTGTATTCATAGCGTTTAAAAGAATTTTCTCTACATTCCAAAAAACAAGGAGACTTTGTCCTCGTTTCATGGGTGTGTTTTCTGTCCTGTTTCTTTCCTTTCCTCATACTGTTATTCCTCGTTCATTATAATTTTTAACGGTGATATACTACCAATTTTTTTTACCAGGATTTCTGCGAACTGAGCAGAAATGGCTGTGCTTACAATTTTCTCATCCGGAAGTCTTGCACGGCTTTTGGCCGTGTATTAAATTTTTGTAGCTGAATTTTCGTTCATTTTAAATTCTAGGGTTATTTGAAAAACAAATCCAGACAAAGAAGGGCCAATTGGAACCTCTTCCATCACTTATTGTTCTTTTAACCAATGACACTAAGTCGAGTCGATACTGGTAAAATATTCATTCACTTTTATAATGTTGAGACATTTGCAAAACTCCGGACCGCAGGTGTCTGCGGTGGAGAACGAACGCGCTATTGCCCTTTCCGGGGAGTGACGCGTTCACCACCACACCATGCGGGTCCCTCGTTTCGCCTTTCTGTCAGCTGGTTCTATCGATCTTTTTGCCATCAGCAATCACCCGTCAACGGGATTGATCTGTGGAGCCCAAATCGGCATTGAACTCAGCTAAACTGAGGCTATATTTATAATCACAATCTTAACAATCTTCGCCCGCTAGAAGGGCTATTCGGTAAACTGCACTCGTTGAATGGACCCAAAGTGGTTCCAACTTTTTGAATAGGACTTTTTTTTACTGATCTTTTGGCGGTAGGTTAACCATGGGTGGTTGCTGAGCCCTCCTACTATATAGATTTACTCCCAGTCAATCTTTCAGGCGTAAGTTTTGAACCAGTTCTCCAAACCCGGATGGACCTACCGCATTAATACCCTCTACAGCTGTACATTGCACTAAAGGCGTCAAAGAACACTCACTAGTCATGAGAGAGATGAGGCGACAAACCACTGATGGAAAATTTGTGGGGAAATAAGATATGTGCTTTCGCTGACACATTCTTGATGTCACTTAATTTCATTCCTAATGCTTTGGCGACTTTGCTTTCGCTTAATTTTGTTCGAATGGAATGGTGAGCACGAAAGGCGACATCTAATTTTCCGCACGCGAATATAAGCGACAATTCGTCCGAAAACGAATTTTGTTAGTCTTATTATATAGAAATTTTCCTTTTTTCGATACTAAATGGCTTGACATGTCTGTATTACAGGATCTGTCGACGTAATACAAAGGGTGTTGCGAAAAATACTTAGGCACCAGTGAACACATCGGAAGTTACATGAATCTCAGGTGACTCATACAGTCACGATGTGCTAGTCCTTTAATAGGCTTCTCTACGTCTTCACTCTCAATCATCTTAGTTTGATCGTTTCGGCATAGAATAAGGGTCAATAGTATATCTTAATAACCTCAATTAATAGACTCGGACACTATTTGCTCGGCACACTACATTTTTCTGATTAGCGATTATAGTCGTCACGTGACGGAGTTTTCCGTCATACATTGCTAAACGGAATAATATATATTTTTCTTTCAGCACTCATTTGTCGTCTAAGTTTTGCTCCCCATTCTTTTTATTTTATAAGTCCAAGCAGTGAAATATTGTTGGAGATTTATAGTACGAGAATTGGTCCAGGATAAAATCTAAGCTTGATGTCTCTAATGAAATTTTATGACAAAAATATTAACGACGCAAGAAGAACGTTTTCTAATTCACACATAAAATCACCGTCTTTATTTTATTAAACTTATCCAAAAATATCCCACTATGCATGGTGGGCAAGAGTATGACGATGAAGCATCTAATGTTGAAGTCGCGATCTTTACGAAAAAACTAGAACTTTACTATCTTAACCCTTTTATTTACTGCCTTTTTCTTTTTAATGGCAGGGTATGTTGCGAAATATAACTCGTATATAATGCTGAGATATTTGCAAAACTCCGGACCGCAGGTGTATGCGGTAGGCAACGAACACGCGCTGTTGTCCTCACCAGGGAGCAGCGCACTTCACCACCACACCATCCGGGTCCTTCGTTTTGCCTGTCTCTCAGCTAGTTCGAGTTACAGGCAAAACGAAAGACCCGGATGGTGTGGTGGTGAAGTGC